TAATAAATTATATAATTATATAATACAAAATCCACCTATGCATTGAGGATTTACTGGTATACTTGATAAATCAGTCATGTTGTCTATATGTGTTAGGATTTGCTATGGCCTCAGCTTGTTCAATCCACAAAAAAGAGCAAGGAGAAGCTGCATTAAATTATTTTATCCACCTTCATAATTATCTGCTTTGACCAGCATGTTGCAGGACGGTTGCTTCAGTCTTCTCCTTTTTCCCTAATTTAGTCCTAATTTGTAAGAGCTGGTGGGTAGCTGCCATTCCTCTGCTTGAAACAGCATTTCACTGACTATTAGATTTCAGCATTGGGAAGTTTTTCTTTCATTCAGTAATAATTGATGATGAGCAAGTATCTAAAATGACACACTGCAAGGGAGGTGCTTTCCCTCTACAGAATCTTCATTGAAAGAAAAAGTAAAATTAAAATCCTCAAAAATACAGGCTGAAACTTCAGGTTTTTTGAAGAGCAAGAAATTTGGACAGCCTTAGGGGATGTGCATTCCTGTATTTTTTGCATGGTGAAATCTTAAGAATTTAGAAGGCCTGTTTTCTCTAGACGTTTTAGTTCAGTAACTCTGAGAAAGGATATTTACTTGGTTTTCTTTTCTTCTAAAACTACCGATTGTAGTTTAAAATGCTCATGAAGATTTCATGTCCTGACTGTACATGTGACTATTTCAGAAACAGGACTTTTTCCAAAATAAGAAATTGAAAATTAAACTAAATGAAATAATCTTTCATTTGGTAACATAGCATTATTGATTATTAAATGACCAGTGTTGTTATCACCATGAATGGTTTTTTCCTTTCAAGTTTGGGAGTCTTTTAAGGAGTAAACCATAACTTAAGTGTATTGTGGTTCTGAAATATACTGTAAATCATAGACTTTTCTTTAAAGAAATAAAAAAAGATGCACTATTACATAGATCACTTCTACAGGTGATGTTTTGCATTCTTGGGGCTTGCATTTTGGAAAAGAAAAAGTTTTCAAAGCATTTTTGGGGATTCTGGGGTGGGAGTATTTTGTTTGTTTTTACAAAGGTGGAGGTAAAAATTAAAATGGTAGCTAATTCTTCGGATTTTTCCTTCTGTTCTGGAAAAGAGTCATTTATCCTGTTTTTAAAGTTGTAACGCTTCATTGTGGCTCTATTAGCTCACGTGAGCTAATTAATCATTAGATCCAAACATGGATTATTGTTGTAACTATCTCTGTCTTTTTCTTCTTTTTTTTGTTTTGGATAAAGGTCATTTAGCCTTTCTGTGTTAAGGCTGAGCTCTGTATTTTGATTCACCATTCCTTTACCCATTAGTCATTAATGTCTCTGCAAAGCGTGGTCTAAAATACTAGTGCTTGAATTTGAATTTGGAGAGACTTCACACCCTGTTTGCATAATGTAAAAGATTACTTTTTTTAAAAAAAAAAAAAGAGTTAATTTCCTGAAATATAATAACACTTTAAAAAACCTCTGGAGAGAGACTGTGAAGGTCATCTTTGAGCAGAGCCCTGTGTGCAAGCTGTAGCAAGGCTGGGTTGCCATTGTAAATTTATCCTCTTCACCGCTGTGATACTCACATAGGCATTACAAAGAAACAATATGCCATGAATTACATCAAATTACCTGTAAAAGCCTCTCTCTTCCCCTGCCAGCTCTCCCCCTCTTATTCCTAGAGTGGGTGGGCGAGCTGTGGGAGTGAAGTGTAGAGAGGAGAAGGGGAAAAATTCCAGGCAAATGACAAGACTAAAGGTGTGGAGGGACTGAAAAAGGGAATGGAGTGAACTGGGATTTGGAAGTAGATGCTAAAAAGAGGTGTTGCAATTCCTAAATCCTCTCTGGACGAAGAGCAGGACAGGTGACTAGGGGTGGGAACGGCGCATCCCCCTGCAGAGCGAGGACATCTCCTGCATAGGTGTTTGGGGCAGGGGCACCCCGTATGTTGCCATCTTCCGTGACTCAGTACCAGTGCTGCTCACAGCGATGAGCTGTGGTGGCACCACCTGAGGAAGCCAAGCAAGGCACGGGTCTGTCACGTAGAGGTTAGAGGCAGAGGCTGCTCATCGCCGCCGCTTCGCGCTGGGCTCGTCGAGGTTCTCCTTGGGAGCTGGTGTGAGCGGCCAGGAGAGCACAGGGACGGAGTCTTTAAGATATTGCTGCTGTCTGTGGTGTCTAAGAATTAGGTGGGGGTGTCAGCGTCTCCGTCCAGCTGAACGGGAGCGGTGGGGAGAGCTTGCAAAAGCCAGTTCCACGGAGCTCTGTGGGCGTCAGGGGCACGGGCAGGGAGGCCCGAGCGGAGGCTGGGAGGAAGCGTCTTCCCTTGGTGCTCCTGTGGGTGGAGGGAGAGGAGGGAAAGGGCCCACCTCCACCACAGGAGAAGGTGCAGGAGCAAACCAGCCCAAGTGTGGGATTTGTGTTTTTCTCAGAAACAGCCAAAGCAGTAGAAGCTACTGTTTGCATAGGAAAAATGTCATTAGAGGGAGCGAGAAAGCACATGTGGGACTGAGAACATCTGCTGCACGAACCCGCTTGAAAAACAACTGAGCAGCAGCATGGCTGAACAGAAACGCTGTGTGCAGGCAGCAGGTCCTCCTGGCCACAGAGGGAGGAGGAGGCTCCAGGCAGCCGCGGAGCAGGGCAGGTGGTGCCTGGTCCAGCCTGCTCCTCAGAAGCCCTGGACGGATGGGGCAGTGGGGAGGAGAGCAGCCAGCACTGGGGACAGGCTCTGGGAAGGCGATCCAGAACTGCATTGTCATCCAAGAGTTGTCTGCATGAGTGATGGGTGGCAGTCACACCAACGAGCAGCTGGCCCTGCTTTCAGGAAGCAGCCTTTGGTTTTGTACTGGCGAGGGGTCACAGCTGTGTTATAAAGAGCCATGTTACCTGATTTGCTGTAGAAATAGGATCCTGAGTGGTAGGTTTTTTGTGTATTCAGTTTCTCATCTTCCTACACGTAATTGTTCTCCTCTCCCAGACAAATTCAGGTCTAACTACAAAAAATGGTCAGTCCTTATGGAAATGTGCTGCAAAGCCTTTGTTTCTAGAGGATGAGGTTTTGTGGCGATTTACCTGGTTATGAAATTTTGCATACCTATCATGTTTTTTTTCCCTGAGGGAGGATGTTGGGTGGATAAAAGCAATATGCAGTGTTCAGACAGGCATTTTTGCTGGTGGTTTGGTTTTTTGGTTTTTTTTTTTTTGGTTTTTTGGGTTTTTTTTTTTGTTTGTTTGTTTGTTTTCCCTGAGCATAGAGAATAGCTTTGTTGACATGACATTGCACTGAGGGTCTGGCCACCTGACAGGGGTCTTAGCACTGCTCTGCAGGTCAGTGGGCAGCCTGCCAATGGCATGAAGCTTGTAGCCCTTCCCTTGTGCTTTTTCTGAAATATTACTTTTCTTGTTCTTGGGCTGTGGCCCATCTGTCCAGCTATTGTCAAAAATGTTATTATTTACATGCACGTGGGCCTAGAATCCACCAGGAAAATAGACCTAATCTGGCATACTGTCGATACTTGGGTCTGCAGGTCCTCAGTGGCAGATGTCACTGCTTCAGGTTTGGGTCTGTCTTAAGATCTTGAGCTTCCTCTTGCATTTTAACAGAGTGACCTATACTGTGCTTTTGTAAACATTTCTGCATGTTCCTCTGCTTTACATGAACTTTCCTTTTATAATGCTGGGCAAGATAAATTTCTCATCGTGGACCTTTGCTTCGATGATTAATTTATTTTAATGGAGTCTGGCAGGCTTTCACAGGAACTTTATTTGCTTTATTGGTGCACAGGCAAGCTGCAAAAGAGATTTGCATGTCATAAGCATTTGAGACTGAAAGAGCTCTTGAATCATGATTTCCCATAGTATATAAAGTCTTTGCTACCCTAATTTTAAAATGGTGATACTTCCCATTTTGTGATACTAGTATAGATTCTGTGAAATACATTGAGTTTCAGGAGGCCTCGCGCAGTTTCTCAGGGTTAGTGTATGCAGCTGCTGTGCCTTATTCTTGACTACATATATGAACTTGGTTTCTTAAGAATCTCTAAATCTGATGTATGTAACGAGTGACAGACCCACAGGCCTAACTCTGCCTGGAAAGGCTGAATATTGACTGTTTCAATGTCAGTGACAACAGTAGTCTGGATTCCCCTGAAGCTGTGAGCCATGAGGTACAACTGTCAGTGTTTGCCATTTGAGATACCTAGCAGTTGTTGTAAAGGGGCTCTGTGTGTTCTCTGCACAAACTTAAATGATGTGGATAGCACAAACATGTAAACTGCACTCCAGGATTTTCACAGAAGTTCAGGAATGTGTTTTTGTTGGTTCTTTTCTTTCAAATATATGGAGAGGGTGAAGAACACTCACTAATATGTTCCTCTTGCTGTTTGGTTTCTTCTTATGCTCAATAGGATGGTTATCCTGATTTCCAGGACACAGTTCAGACGCTCTATCAGCAAGACAAAATGCCACTTGCTTTGGCTAAAAGAAAGAGTGAAGACTCAACAGCTCTGAATTCCCAGGTAAACCAACTACACTACACTGTGAATAGTACAGGACATGCCTTTGTGCATTGATTTGGATGTATTGTTTTGATGACTAAAGTTAATTACCACCAATTTTCAAAGGCTACCTGCTTAGCTGCGATTGCATCACTCTTAATTTGGGTTTATCTTCTGAAACTGTTCTGACAGAGTGCTACAGCTTTACCATTATTAGTTCCAAGGAGGTAAGATCCAGTGTAGTAGGCTTGAAAATATGTGACTGCCTGTTGGGAGCAAGTGGGGTACTACTGGTACAGTACATGCTGTGTGACTTGCGTTATTAGCTATAAATGGAAAGTTCAAGTTACTGAGTCTGGAGGAATAGAGTGGGCGATCTTGGAGTCCTCAGTTCTGACATTTCTTGTGAGAAGAGGGGCAGATATATTTAGGAAATAATGAACCTCTGGATCCGAGAGGATAAATTGCCTTTCTAAGTAACATCTAGCCTGGTGGAAGTGTGGCGTTTTCCAGTATCCAAAAAGCTTTTTATAAATGAAGACAGGTTTCCAATGCTTTGTCTCTTCTGTAGTATATCCCAACCTGCAGGCAAAATACACATCTCCTGCTGCCAGTTGTTGCCAAGGAGGGATTTCATGCTAAGTTGCAACAAATTCATTTTTGATTTGCACAAATGTAATCACTGATTTTTCATGGAAGATCACATTTAGGAGTTACGTTCCTGTTTTCTGAGACTAGGTGTGTTACCCTGTCTTTTACCTTCTTCTGTTGTAAAGCAGTGCACTGCTTTACAGTGACAGTCAGACAGACCTGTTCCTTGTGATGTATTAAAAAGCAGTTACACCATATGTTCTGGTGTCACATCATGATTAAATGAACTTCATTTTTGCAAGCTCATTTTCATCTTGCTGATGCTTCAGAGTTTTCATTGGTCACTGCTATGTAACAGTGAACTAGAGATGTATTTTAAGTGCAACTGCAGCTCCACAGATTTTTCTGTGGTGATCAGAAGCATTGTTGCAGTTCAAAGTTCTGGTTTTATCCCAGTTAAGCAATAAAGGTGGTATGAATGAGGAATGTTGTATCCTTTTTAAAAATCATTTTACAGTTCAAAAGTTGTAACAGGAGTGACAGAATAGCAGAGTTAAAGCACACTCAAAAGTAAACTGTTTGAAAATACTTTTTTTTCCTACCTGCCTCCTAAGACCAAGCTTGAGCTATCAGTGTTCTTCTGCACAACCTGATGAGCTCTAAGGTGGAGTAGAGGAACATCGGTCATGTCATCGCCCTGCTCTCAGGATCATCACTGTGTTGGAGGAGCTTAGATTCTGCTGGTCTCTTAGGCCATCATTGTGTTTGTAAATCATTGAACTATGCTGAGTAAGCACACTTTAGTGGGAAGTCAGGGCTTTCATCTTCTCCCAACAAGAGTTAAGATGCTCTGCAATTCATAGGCCTCTGTATTGGCTGAAACAATGACGGCGCCACCGGAAAGAGAAGTGAATTTTTCCCTACCAATCGTAGATGCTAAGTGTGTACACTTCCTGTTCTTATGTTCATTGTGGCTCTTTGCAATCAACTTTCTTGACTTCTGATTTTATTTTTGCAAGATGCTTATTTACATTCTCAGGAACAAGATTATATTGAAAGTTAGATTTCTCTTGGCACTCAAGTCAATGACAAACACTCAGACGCCATTTCCTCCCACGTTGCACTGCATTGTTTAGTTTCACTCTCTAGAGGTGTATAGGTCTTGTTCTTCTTCTAGACAGACATTTCACACCTTTATCCCCCACAAACATACTGTCATCCTACACTTTCAGAATGGCAGATTTTTAAGCTTGTGTAGCGCTGTTTCCTAAAATAAAGATTCCAAGATGTCTGGTGAAATCTTGGCATAAGTTTTTAGCAGATGTTGCCATTGCTCTTGGAATACTTTTTGGAATACTTCGTGAAGACATTTATTTGATCGGAGCTAACTGTATAATTAAGATATTATTTTTTGCTTTTCTGGAGATGCTCTTCATGTAAACTCCAGTCCTAAAGTGCAAAAAGGGATTTTTGTGTGTTTTTGAAGAACAGAATTTAACATTACTGCGTGGATGAAGTACAGCAGCTTGCATTTTAAGTGTTCTTGAGTGACTCAGTTGTACAGTATGGAAATCTTTATGGGTGCAAAAATATTTTGTTTGCTTGATAGTTTTGAAGAAACTGTAAAGCACACATCTGTACATATGAGTCAACAAAAACTTAAATCTAGACTGTTAGTTTTATCATCTGACATTGTTTTTTTTCCCTGTGTTTTGACTATATATGTATATATAGAGAAGATTTATTTTTTCTTGATTTGCAGTCGGAAAAGGTGATGGCAAAACAGATGGAGTTTCTTTGCAACCAGGCTGCATTAGAGAGACGTCTTTCCACAGGGTGTTACAGACAGAACTCAGAAGAGCACAGCCCCAATGGCATGTCACTGGATAATGCTGATGGACAAGGTATGGTAGCTCCCAGGCACGGCGTTGCTGCCAGCAGATACATCTGGTATTACACCACCTTTGTTAGTGGTGTTACTTATCCAGTGTAGAACACTGAGCACTGAGCAGACAAGACAAGTTCTCTGCCCCAAAGTGCCCTCAGATATACAGTCAGACTCTGTTACTGGAATGTACCTGGGCAGAGAGTTTTCCCTCTGGATGCTGTGGGGAGGGAAGAAGGTAGGGTGCACCATTATTATTGAGGGCAGAACTTGGCTTTTGCTTTATCCTGAGTTCTGAAAGTAGAGCAGAACGTTGCATTTCATTTGTGTTCTTTCTTTGTGGAAATGGAAAGTAAAGCAGATGAGGTAGTTGGTACCTACCAACTTTTGTCTAGGAACAAAACCTGAGGAGCTGGCTATGTAAATTACTTGGAACTAAGCAGATTCTAATGATGTTCTTAGTAGCTTATTATTCTTCAAAAAGCTTACAGTTTTGTGGTTTATTTTGATTTACTGACTGGCTATTCCTTTGCTTTAATTAATTTCAGGAGGGTTTGTTTTGTTCAAGTGCATTCTGTTTGGATTTCTTTTTTCAGTGTTGTGAAATGAGACAAAATGTTAAAAACACAAGAAGTACAACCAGAAGTTCTGTCAGGTTTTTAAGAGCTGGTTTGTTTAAGGGGTGGGGGAGGAGAGAAGCAGTAGTGGGAGAAACTGAAGGAATCATTACAAGTGTTAAAACATAATTTTGGCTTGTGTGTATTGGTCAAGCAGTGTGGTACACAAGTGTACAGGAAGAATTAGATGAGTGGATCCAGCTCTTTGTGATAGTTGTTATATGCTCCTTTTATACCATTTCCTCATTGTGCTGGAGGAGCAGGAACTTCTAGGACCTCAAAGGGATTGTGCAATAGGAGTGGGAATTTTTAAGATCTCAAAGGGGTTTTGAGCAGAATAAGAGACTTTTTAATTTTATTTTTTTTTATAGGGCAGAGTGTCCCTTTCTAGCAGTGCCTGTTGAATAGCCTGCAAAGCAGCCTATTTCCATAAGCCTTCTTTTGCTAGAAATCTTCCCTGAACTGCTGGAACTTAGGCTGTGCTTTTGCTGATAGAATGAATGTGTCATTAAGTCTCTGCCTGTTTTTTAATACTGCCTTGCTTTTAATGCATCAGTGTTTCACTGTGAACACCTTGCAGGTGAGAGGCCCCTGAACCTCCGGATGCCCAGCCTGCCGAGCAGGCAGCTGCAGCACATTTCACTTGATGGGGAGCAGCACGCTGGGAAACCCCTGTGCAGCGACTTGATCCGACTGTACCCCGGTGCTGAGGCCAAGTCCCAGTCCTCGGGTGAGTGCTCTCCCTTGGGAACTCCCCACCATTTCTTACAAAGCCTACAGTGAACCTACTCTGTCTCCGGGTGCATGCTTTGTGGGTAACCTTTTCATTAAGGCTCTGGACAAAACTTCAAGGGGAGTGTTGCTTGCTAGTCTAGAATCAGATTGAGTATTATTTGGGAAAAGCTTAGAGGATGCAGTAGCTAGGTCCAGACAAGCACGTTCTGGCATGGGTCTGTCCTCAGAGAGTGCTATTGAGCCAAACTGCTGCTGGTAAATAGTTAGGTGGCTGTCATTGGAATACAGTTGCATTATAACATGGCTTCACTCTATATAAAGGAATCAGAATTGTTATGAAAAGAATTCTTATTCTAATCTAAGGACCTAGCACTGTCTGTGCTGTGAACCAAATCATGGCAGTAAGTCATGCAGGAAGTATTTTGAGCTGGGTTGCACTGAGTTAAAGCTGGGGATTCTTGAGACTCTCACAACTTGAGGAATAATAGTAAAATCTCACCTGAGGTTGGAAGATGCAATGACAAGTAGTTTATTTGAAAAACAAGGTACAAAAGCAGTTGTTTTGAAGACTGAGCAGAATCTTGCATCCTCCAGTTTTATTTCTTGCAATTGTAGCTCACCTTTTTTTGCAGTGAGAATTCATGTAGTGAATTTCTGGTTGGGGATTCTTACCAGTTCCTTTTCAAACAGCAAGTGGAGAGTGTGTCTCCACTAAGCACTGCTCCTGGGGAGAAGTGAAGTCAATCTGTGGTTATAACTCTGTCATGACTGCAGTGTAACTGAGGTGGTTCTAACCCAGCTGGGTTCAAGCCCAGTAGGAGGAGGCAGAATTTATTGCTTCCACTGTTAGTATCCATATGGTTCACGGACCTTTTTCTTGAATTAAGAACAAAATGTATTTGTTTCCAAGGAGTGTTTTTAACACTTGTTTTTAACACTTGTTTTTTTTTCTTTCTTAATGCAGAAGGCCTTGGTATTTTAAAGGATTTTCCTCATTCGGCTTTTAACAACATAGAAAGGAAGGTCATAAAAACAGAACCTGAAGACACAAGATAGTTATTCTGCTCTGGAAAACGGTGTCACAGTAAGGAATGAAACTTCACAAGAGACAAAAAAACAGCCTTAATAACCAGTGTTGCCTCATTCAAATAAGAGATTTCAATAGCCAAAGCCTAAGAACTGGTACAGTAATCTGTGGAAACAGGAAAGCAAGGGACACTGCAAACTAAAACAGTAATACAGGTGGATAAACATTCCTGTAAAAGTGGGTTTATAACGTGGGAAGATTCACAAATTAATATTGTGGGTCTTCATTATTTAAGAATGTATTATGTATTTGTATAACTTATCAAAGTAAATCTAGATGTCGGGACGTGTATTGAGTCCAGTAGATGTGGCTACAGTTCATTTTACTTGAAATTTCAATGTCTAAGTGTACCTAGCGTAGATAATGGTTGTTAAACATTTGAATTAAAATTCCTTGGAGAATTAGGAATGCGAACCTCGTGACACAATTAACAGCAAGTTTGCAACAATATTTGTAGAAAAAAAAAAGAGGAAAATGCATAATATACTTCATGGTTTAAAATGTTATGTGGATATAGCATTTGATAGACCTAGACCCTGACTCTGTATTATAGCAGGCGTTCTTGACACCTAACTATTGTTACATCACTTTCGATGGTTTCAGCAGCCTTTGTGTAACACACTTACAGCTTAATACCTACCGACAGTCCAGGAGGGTAGGAAGTGCCAGTTAGAGTATGGAAAATTCCGTATGATTGGCTCCCATTTCATTGGGAAAAACTATGGTTTGATATACTGTACAATGACTAAAATCTCATTTGATAGGAAACCCAAGAGACCGAGTAGCACGGACAGGGCTGCAAAACTTGTGGTTCAGACCATTACGACTTTTTGGACTTCTCTGTGGATCTTTAAAAAAGAAATGCATCCTAGACAAAATACGATGCAGGGTTTATGCATCGGTGTAAAAGGTTGCACTTGATACCCAGAAACCATGAGATCTTTTGGAGGAGAGAGTCAAGGAGTCATGTCTCCAGCATGTGACTCCTTATTAAGTGCTGTCCAGCCCACATGATTCTATGAATATACCGTATACTGCATACAGTATGCCAATACGTTTCTTTATATATGTGATTAATTAACATCTGTATTCTTTATTTATTTGACAGTTTTTTATTTTTTGTACATTTTCACTTTTGCAGATGTCATTTCATCTAAGGAGAACTAGTCAGCATATAACTTGGGAATTTTCCATGGTGTGTTTGTGTGCATCCATTTTGCCCTCTGTGCAGCTCCCTCAATATGAGTTGCTTTCCTACAGTCAAAACAGTTATATGCCTCATTTTCTGAATACAGTTTTTGCCTACAAATGTGTTCTGGAGGGGAAAGGGAGGGCAGAAGAAAGCAGGTTACCATGCCAGTGGGTAAACCTCCATGTTCAGGTGTGCACTTCACGTCTGCCATGTGCTCTGTGTCCTAGGTGTGTATTAACAATTCAGTCACAGTCTGTGTTGTACTGAAAACAGTGAAATGTCTACACTGCAGTCTCTTATCACTGTAAACATACCTAATTATTTTATCACTTTTGATTTGTGGAACAAAGCTTTATAGTAGAAACACCAGTAAACAACTTTTTTATACTATTAAAATGTTTGGTTTTTTTAAAAAAAAATGTTTCTTGAACTGTATGGTACTGTTTCACTTACTGAAGTATCTTACTCTAAGCAATGGAATTCGGAGCTTTGCTGTTAGAAGTAAGAGGTTGAATGTGTAGTTGTATTTCCTCTTTCCTGTTCTGTGAGCTAGTAGTAAGGATAAGGTGTTTCTCCAGTTTGTAACGTTGGCCAGTGCCCTGGTTAGTATCTGAGTAGCTTTCACGAGACGTGTATGGAGCTTGTTAAAGGACAGCTTGAGGTTCGAACTGTACGGCTTGAGCAAAAGAAGGTACCAAGCAACAGGACTAATCAAGATGCAGGAAGTGTTTTGGTTTTTTCAACTCCTGGCATGATCAAAAGTTGTGCATGGATTGCAGAAGAAGCTCTTAAGCTTGCTGGTCTCTTTGACTGAAGTGAGAGAGGAAGGAAGAACAACTTGCTAAGCAGCACGCTGTTTCAGCTGAGTCCAGAATTTATTTTGTAAACACTAATGTATTAAATTTGCTATAAATTAAAGTATATAACAGTTATATTTTTCAGTTGTAAATACAGTACTTTGTGTCACAACCAGTTGGTTATCTCTAGGATGATATTTCAGTTTATAGTCCAACAGGCCATTTCAGTCTCAATAAGCTGGAAGCAATTTTTTTGTTTTTTTACTGGTTTGCAACTGTTGTTTTTTTTTTTTTTACCTGGGGTGGGAGGTGGGAGATCCGTTCTGAGATTGCACATATACTTGGTAATAGCAGATACTCAAGCACTGGTCTTTCCATGACAAAGGTCTTGGTGGACTACAACTTGTCTAGCCTCTGAAGTCACAGATGAGGGCTTGCCCTTGTCTGCCCTTCCAGGGGTGCTAGATTCAGGGTACTCTGGATCAAAAGCCAGCCCTGCAAACGATGCCTGTTCTTATTCACATGTTTATATTGTTGCTTACAAAATAAAATTCACCGTGAGAACTCTCTAGTTTCCCCAGGGTTCTTCTTTTTTTTTTCTTTTTTCTTTTTTTTTTTTCCTTTGTGTTTTCTAAAAGGAGATGTTAATTTTAAAAAGTTTAAAAAAAAAAAAAAAAAAGGAGCTTTGCTGGGAGGTGATAGTGGGCAGGCAGAAATAGTCCCTGGGAGCTGAGGAGACAAGGCACTGCTGCCCAGCCCCATGGCTGCCCTCAGCAGTTGTCCTGGAGATCCACTGTGTCTCAGCTCACTTTCTAAACGGCTGCCTGCATCTCCCTCCTCAAGTGCTAGAGTGGTGTTGGAGGACAGAAACTGGATGGGAGGTGCTGTATAAGAAGGGAAGAGAAACAGATCAGGCATCAAAAATCCCAGGGAGAAATGAGGGGAACCCTACCAAAACCCTTCAAAAACACCTGGGTTGCTGAGGTGATAGGTGTGATTCAAAGCAGCAGGGAGAATCCACTCAGCCCAGTGGGGTCAGAGCAAGGTGCAAGCCCCCTGACTTCTCCCAGCCCAGAGGACGTTAAATGTGGGAAATCACAACCCAGGCCTTTATTTTTGCTGGTTTTTCTCTGTGCTTTCAGTGTGATACTACCCTGTTCTGGGAGAGGAAATGGGAGGAGAAAGGAAAGAATTAGCCACTGTTATCTTGAAGATGCAAGTCTGGGACAGAACATGCCATGAGCTAGTTATTGACCTTCCAGACCACACAAGTATAACTGGAAAACCTTTAGATAGAGGTAGATATTATTTTTCTTTCAATTTGATCTGGGCTGAGCAGTGACTGACTGAAGTTCAGCAAAAACAGTGATGCTGGACAGGCATGGTCCTACTAGGGCTCAGAGGCTTGTGTCAAGCCCACCAGACTCAGTGTCTCATCACAGTGTCGTGAAGCTTAACGCTGGGAGGTCCTCGGTTGGAAAGCACTGTTGCATTAAACAGCTATTACAGGAGGGTCATTAATGTTAATTTGAAATTTCAGAAGGTGGCTGTTGAGTGCACCAAGAAAACTCATTGTTGCTTAAATTTTTATTGCTGGCTACCTGCCTAAAGCTTCTGTGTCTAAATAAGCAAATTTTTTTTGTGTGCTAAATAAGCAATTTATATGAGGGTCAGCAGGGAAAGCATCCACTCATGGCCATGCCTTTACTTATGGTGATGGCTTTGCCCATGACATCATCTGCAGAACTCATTTCCTCCAGGTTTATCTCTTCAAAATACACAAAACTCGCACACAAAGCCCAGGCTCAGACCTGGTGATGAGATGTCTTCCAGTGGCTCCTCATTAAACCACAAATGCTCGTCACTGCAGCAGCTGGGCTTTGGTAGCACTTGGGTCTGGGCTCCCAAGACAGTGGGGAGAGCACACCATGCTCAGGGCACCCTGCTCTTCCTCAGGCAGGAAAACGAGGAGAAATGCCATGAGGCTCTTTTCTGCTGTACAGAAGGGTTGAAAAGATGTTGTGCTGCAGTGATTCAGTGGGGAAAGGATAAATCCCTCACATACACCTACGCACCACCACGAGGAAGAACTCTGTGGGCAGAGAAGGAGCAGAACATGAAATATGAATTTCCTCGAGCTGCTCAGGAGGGATGGCTTTCCAGAGCCCTTCCTCCAGCAGCGATTCACCCCCGCTGCCTGGCCACCCAGCTGTGGCAGCGTGAAGGTCTCCTGCTCGCCCTGCCTCATCGCTTCCACCTGCAGCCTTGTGGAGGGCACATCCCCTTCTCACATGGTTTTGGGCTGCAGTACCACCCAAGGAGATGAGTGGAGGCAGGCTGCCCATCCCTGTGTAAGCTGGCAGCTCCAGCAGGCAGCAGCCCCAGGACTGAGGCAGGTGGTGGAGGTGGCTCCTGCTGTAGAAAAGCTTGAGAAGCCCTATCGTAGGCCACTGCCAGCTCCTGGGGTCATCCGATGGTGCCCCAGACAACTGCTCACCCCAAAGCCAACCCCCAGCCATGTCTGTGGTGCTCCTGACTCACTGCTCTTTGGTAAGTCCACCAAGAATACCGCTCTTGGGGAGGGCTGTGGCTGGAGAAGCTGAGAGGTTTGATGAATGCTGCTGCCCGTGTAAGAAAACATCTGGAGGTTTTTTAAGCGTGTTCATGTGAGACGTGCACCACCTGTGATGGTCCTTGGTGGAGCAGGCCCCATCCAGAGCCTCGTGCCCCATGTGCACATGGAGTGCCCCAGAGGAGCTGCTGCAGCAAAGGTAGTTGCTACTGGTTTGGCTAGACCTAATTTACATTGCGAGGGGTTTTATTCAATTTTATTTGCTTTCTTAAATATTTTATATTACTTCTCAGCAAATCTGTATTCCTCCCGTATCTTTAGAGTGTGTGTGTATGCAGTTAATTTCCTACTACCTTGGGGATTTTAGACAGCTTCATTCTCAGAGCTATTTTGAAAATTATTTAATCACCTTGGAAATTCCTCCATAGCCAAAAAATCTTGTGTTTACTTATTACTCAGTTGTAAATTGGTGGTGCAAAATGTAGCAGTACTGGGTTGTAAAACTGCACATAAGCCTCCATTGAAATCCAGTGCCAAAATTAAAAAAAAAAAAAAAATCATTAACTCTTTGCACACAGTTGAGAGGAAGGCAG